TCCATGCCTTCTCTCCTCCCTCTCTGCGACTCGCCGCTGGGAGGAGCGGATACTTACACCGGGCTGCGCCGCTCACCAAAATACCAAAGTGTGCTTGGGCATACCTTGTTAGCGCGGCAGACCTGACTTATGCCACCCTGCCGGCAAGGCATGGTAATAGAGCCCTTAGTGTTCATAACATAGATTTCATACCCTTTTAGCTTTTAGGCAAGGCAAGTTACAAACTGGTAACTGGTTGAGAAACTGATACTGGCGTCTCTTTGTTACCTTTAGAAGCAAACTAGACCATCAGCAACAAGGGTGATTATTTCTCAAGGATACATGTTAATGCTTAAAATCACTGGTAGAGGTCAAGTGTGGGACTGGATGAGTAACAGCAGGCTGGAGAAACTTTAGCTTTATAAAGTAGCAACAGTATTTAGTATTTTAGTATTTTTGAAGCAGCATTCTGAACCAGATGCAGCTGTCTGAGTGTTTTAGGGAGACCTGTACAGACACTGTAACAGTAATCAAGTCAACTAAAAATAAAATGCACTGACCATTTTTATTTTTTTTTTGCTGAAACATAAGTCCCCTAATCTAATGTGGTAGTGGGCTGACTTTGTAATCATCTATGTTGTTGTTGTTGTTAAAACTGATATCTGAGTCCAGTACTATACTCAGGTTTTTAGCTTGGTCAATTTTCAACTGTAATGTCTGAAGCTGCTGATACACCTTTAATCTGTCCTGTTTACCATCCATATGCATAGCTGTCAAGTATCCCGTTTTGGCTGGGAAACTACTGTATTTTACCCCTATTTCCCACTATCTTCCTTTATTGATATTTTCCTGTAAATCTCACGTATTTCAATATATGTGTATAAAAAAACATTATTCTGCCTCTCCAAACTGAGCTCTGTCACTAGCGCATGCTAAGTACCCACCAACCCGTTGTCATCTGTGATCACACAGACAATGAATTAACAGGTATGGCAATGTCACATTGGTTAAGAGTCTGTTTAATGACCACCATGCAGGCCAAAGCAAAGGCAAACTTGCACAATTCATCTCACTTTTCAATCAAAAGAATAAAGAAAAGATACGACTCAACTATTTTTTTTTCAGTAAAATGAAGTCCTTTACACTCATGCATTTAAAATAAAGGGAAAAGAACAATGTTAGTCTTACATACAGCCACTTAGTGTTGGATATCAAGCTCACATAGCTATGAAATATCAATTTTGTTAGAGGTCAATAATGGATGATGAGAAAATAGTATTTGTTCAAGGGGCAGCCATGATTGGCCAAGCAAGAAAATAATGTTTATTAGATTGATGGTTAAATATTTGTGTCCTGTCTTTTGCTTCAAAGACTTCAGGGATCAGAATACAAACACCGAAGTGGTAGGAAAACACAACATTAATTTTTTCACAAATACATGAAAAAGTAAGTGAATTATTGAGCTATACTTCATACTAACCTCTGCAATAAACATTTAGTGCCTCATGAAAACTTTATTTACACAAGTTTAATAAAGTTTCTGTTTATATTGGCTTAATGATTTCAGTTCTAAAGGGTAGTTTGGGTTATTTTGAGGTGAGGTGATTGTAATTAGGAAGTGTATTACACATTGTAGATCCCATTACACCAGCCATATTATTGAAAAACTGTGTGGAGAACCAACATGGAAGCTAAGCTGGGAAACTGCTCTGTAGGGGGCAATGTTACCAAGTCATTTAGCCAACTTAAACAAACTCTGGGGGCCAGTTTTGGCTCAGTTGGTAGAGTGGGCATCCAATGAACAGAGGCTGCAAATGAGCCAGATAAACCACCAGAAGTTAACAAGCCGATATCACAGCAGTGGTGTCTCTGTAAACAGCAGTCTGCTCACATGCAAGTAGATGAAGAATCTTTTGCATTTACACTCCATGTGAAGAGGTAAAGAAGGTTGAGGGCCAAAGCCAGCAAAGGTCTAATAATCAGATAGTTTATCCTGAGTTGTCCGTGTATTTTTTTCATAACAAACAAACCTGTTGTATAAGAGCAGACACTTTGTGTAGGTTTACTAGTTGTACAGAGAACTACTGTATTTCTCAGAGGAGGATCAGGAATGTTGTGATTATTAGTGATTTTGCCCTTTCTGACTGACCTGTTGATTTGCATTTAGTTGTTCATCACCAGGCTGTTGATGAAATGACTTTGTATGTGACATTCCTCTGCTGGCTAGTTAATCAAGAAGCTGCGTGTAATCATCATGGTCCACTAAGGGCTGCGAACAATCAAATATGTTGATGAAAATGTTAAATGAATTAGAAAAAAAATAAATAAATAAACAAAAAAACCACATATTTGCAGATGCAAAATGATTTCATCCAACATTCCAGTGGATACAGTCATTTTTCTCAATTCCTCAAAATGTAACCAGGTAATCACTGTAACTGATTCTACTGTAATGACTCTACAAGATGTCATGATAATCTGGTGACAACAGTTGCTTTTAATCCAGCTATTCACACTGTTATAGTCAGCAGCAGATGAAGTTGCCCACTGCAATTTGCAAGACACACACACACACACACACACACACACACACACACTGGTTACCACACTGGTCTAAACTCCTCATCTCACTGGTCATAGGACTGTCCTGGCAGTGTGGTGCACATCATTTCTTTCCACTTTGTGGTTGTGGTTGCCCATCCCTACCAAATAGACTTAAGTTCCCAGGAAAATTACCGAAATATTAATGCTGTATTTGTTTTACATTGCCATCACCTTAGTCACATGGTTTGATGTGCAAAATCTGTACTTTGTTTCATTCCATTCAGAACAGACCACTGTTCAGTCAGGTTTTGGCAACGTCTTGCATGAGGGCCAGTTTTGTACATGATAAAACTGTACAGTACAGGCCAAAAGTTTGGACACACCTTCTCATTCAACGCATTTTCTTTATTCTCATTACTATTGAAATTGTAGATTCTCACTAAGGGCATCAAAACTATGAATGAACACATGTAGAAAATGTGTGTAAGAAAAAATTGTGAAATAACTGAAAACATGTTTTATATTTTAGATTCCTCAAAGTAGCCACCCTTTGCATTTTTGATAGCGCGGCAAACTTTTGCTGTTCTCTCAGTGAGCTTCATGAGGTAGTCACCTTTGTGACTGACAGTCAGTCACAAGTTCTTCTGTCATCAAGAGCAAAGGATGGCTATTTTAAAGAAACTAGAATGTAAAACATGTTTTCAGTTATTTTACACTTTTTTTGTAAGTGCAAAATTCAACACGTGTTCATTCATAGTTTTGATACCTTCAGTGATAATGTATAATGTAAATAGTCATTTAAAAAAATAAAGCAAAGACATTGAATGAGAAGGTGTGCCCAAACTTTTGGCCAGTACTGTATATATATATATATATATATATATATATATATATATATATATTGTAATGACAATATGTTATCCTGGCTTCAGAGGCTTAACAGTGGGCTTGAATGTGCTTTTATTGTATAAAGTAGCAAGAAACAAAGACAGAACCACAAATAGTCGCACTGATAACAAGATCAGTACTGTAACAGAAGCTTGTGAAAGAGAACTGCCAGGGTTAATTTATTAAAGTGATATATAAAGTGATTATATCAATCATTCCTATGAGCAAACACACACTTAAACACACAAACCTCTGTACCTCTGCACCTACGCAAGTTTCCTCTCCCCCAGGAAATGCTGTGAAGAAATATACTTAAGCTGCACACTCATGTGAAAAAGAAACAGACAAGCAGGTAAACAAGTAAATAAAGGGGAGAAAAAAGAAAAGCAGCGTTTACTTGTGAGCTGTTGACAGCAGGAGCAGGGGTGTAAATAGAGAGGGCACAGCTACCTGCTACTTCCTCTAATAAATACAATTGTTTGTCTCCCTTTAACGCAATTAACGGATGTTTTGATTCGGGTGTTTTTTACTTTTCTTTCGCTGTCATTAACGAGACATGAAGCCCCGTTACATCCCCCATCTGTGTGAACTCCAGAGACCACTTCTGACAGAGAAAGAGAAACATCACACCAGCCACACATGGGGGAGAGAGATTACAAGAGTCTGAAACGACAGAGAGAGAAAGAAAAAAGAAACAGATAACACAGAGATGATAAGAGACCTCAACAGGGGGTAAAACCTCGGCTCTATATAAACCAAGACAGCTCTGTCATCTCTCTGTGTAGCGCTCTGTGCTGGAAAACATTATTAATGTACAATAAACATGGCACCCTGCTGCTGTCCCTGCTATAATGTATCTAATATGTGCTGGAGTGCATCATGGGAACAGAGAGGAGTTGTAGTGGTTGTTCACTTCAGCTAAAGGTGGGAAGATTAAGAGCATTTTTGTTGCAAACAGAATACATGCAATATGTTTGTGCACAAATTTTAGGGGGGGTTGGATAAAATGAGACCAGATCTCAACAGATCCAAAGCCTCTCTTTGACAGTCCCTTTAGACACAATAACACTTCATAACACTTATTGCATTTGTTCTTTGTGTCAATTTTGGTGCCCCTATAGATAAGGATTTTCCCAATATTGTTGCTTTTTTAAAGTGTTTTTTGTCACTTCAATCTCTTTCAGCTGTGGAACAATCAGTGTCACATATGAAACATGTTCAGAGCTGCGTTCTGTAAACTGAAGAAATTTCACACAAATTATGGCATTCATTGATATTTAAGTTAGCCTGATCTGCTAGGAGGCAGAAGTAAATACCTAGATGGTAATTAATTGTAGCATTGAAACTCAGACAAAGCCTCCAAGTCAACCATGTGACAGTAAACACCCATAATCTTTGAAACATCAAGAACTATATCAGAACTTCATGCCTTTGATGAAGTGTTTATTTTTTGTGCATGTGTCAGCATTGTACATTAACCTGCTGAATTGCTTTGTCCTGAGAGACTTTTAACCCACTTTTAACTGGTTTTAAAAATCGGCTAGCTTCTTTTAAAGTTCCGTGACACAAACAGAGTGTGCTAAGCAAACATGGCTTCACTTACCTCCCCGTCCAACTGTCCCAGCTGTGTTGATCTTCATAAGAAAGTCCAGGAATTGGAGCAAAGAATATCCACTCTCCATAAAATCCAAGAGGCCAAACAGTTCCTGGACAAAGTCCTTCTCGGCTGTGCACCAGCCACCACCAGCGTGGATGAGATGGATGACACGGCTCCCTACGGTACCCCTTCTCTGGCCAAAGCGTCTTCACCGCTTGCTAGTGCTACAGCCCCCACTGCTTTTCCTGATCCTGGTGCAGCTCCATTTGGGTATAGCTGGCTGTGACTTGGAGCTAAACCCAAAAACCAAATGAGCTCCACTCCAGTACACAGGGAGTCGTGGACTGTTGTGGTTGTCTCCACTATACCCTGCGTCCTGCGCGCAGCAGTTAGGCAGAGGGTACCGAGTCGGATCTCCCTCTGGCTAACAGATTTGACATCCTGAGCATACAGGACTTTCCTCCACTTGGAGAGTCTGCTTCTCAGGCTGCCATTGAAGCTGCTAAATCTTCATCTTCCGCACACTTAAGGTTGTTAAAGGAGGCCGTGATGAGGAGAAGATTGCGCAGGGTCCTCCACCCGGAGGCATCGGGGCACCCCTCCACGCCATCTCAGCCCCGGGAATCTGCTGTCTTTTAACCTGGCTTATGGTAAGCAGCAATCTTCATTCTCTCCCTCTGAGCTTGCATTTAATCAGCCCGTCACCGATTGATGTCCCCCAGGTCCCAGCTCCTTTGGTTTTAGTTACACCTCTGACTCACATAATACTGGACTTGGACCTTCATTCACTGTTCACCCATTCCTGTCATCATTACTCAGCATGAGAAAACTAGACTCCATCATCTTCATTCTATGAACTTTAATAACCTCAGACCTATCCCAAAGCATCAACAGTCCGCCCATACAGTCTGTAAATCACCAGTCACCATCAATATGGCACTTTTAAATATTCAGTATAAATAAACAAATCTTTTATTATCTATGACCTGATTTTAGACAACAAGGTCGATTGCCTATTTTTAACTGAAACGTGGCTGGGCGCTGATGCGCCAGTTATTCTCACTGAGGCCTCCCCACCTAATTTTAACTTCACTTTCTCCCTCAGAAGTGACAGAAAAGGTGGTGGTACTGCATCAATAGTCTAACTCTCTAAAGACCAAAGAAATACAATTTGATAAGTACACCACCTTTGAGCATCATGCGATTATTTTTAACAGTTCCTTAATTCTTTGTATAACTGTTTACAGACCACCAAAACATGATGCTGCTTTTATCAATAAATGTTCTGAATTTTTAGCAATAATCCATGCCACTTACAATTTGATTATTATATCTGGTGATTTTAATTTACACATAGATCATCCATGTGATTCTATGGCAAAAGAGTTTTTAAATTGACTTAGTTGCTTGGATTTTAAACACGTCACACAGCCGACTCACAACAGAGGACACACTTTGGATCTGGTCCTCAGCTATGGCCTGTCAGCCAGTGTGTCCTCTGTTGTTGACCTGGGGGGTATTCCACGAAGCTGGCTTAGCTCAAAGCCTGGCTTATTTCGGTTAGCTTGGCTAATTTTAAGTGAGAGTTCGGTTCCACAAATGAGGCTTAGGTCTAGCGTGGCTTGGTAACCATGGTAACTCAGCCAACGCGACAAGCCTGGTCCCAGGCAGGCTTACGGTCAAGCTAACCTTAGCTGTGTCTCAGAGAAGGTCCGACGGGCTTCCAGAAGACGCTTTGTGAACCGCATGTCACACAGTAATTTCATCTTTATCTGTAATAAATGATGCTCTTGTTCGGAAAAATAAATCGAGAGCTTTTTAAAAACATAGGAATACCTAAATCTGGACATGAGATCTAATGTATACAGCAACAAAGGGGCATTCAGGTGGCTTTTTCTCCCTCCATTGTGCTGTAAAATTTATATTATGTTGTTTACTGATACTGTTCTTCCCACTTGATGAAATTCAAGAATAATGGATGATCGATCCCAATCTGCTGTATTCAAAGGAGAGGAAGAAACCCATTGAAAGACTGATGAGTTCACACATTTTCAATGGAGATCTTAACATCTTGAATTTCAGAGCCAGCAGAGTGGATCCAGTATCAGTGTGTTCTATTTGGAACCTGCTTAAAAGCTGTTTGCGATCTCTTTGTAAAAAGAGCCAATTGATTGAAACAGGATGACACTTAGATGTTGGATGTAAATCTGTCTTCACACAAGGTTAAAGTCTCTGCTGATCTGAGAGGAAAAGAAGATGTGCTACTGTTGAAGCCAAGGACAGTACCACCTCATCACATGACCGTTTTTGCCTGACTTCCTTTACTTGGCATATACTAAAGTTAAAACTGTTTAACTCTACAGATGCTGCAGAATCCTAGCAACCCCATCCAAAATTAGAAAGGTCTTATTCGTGCCTTAATCATTGTTTTACACAAAACTCAGAGAACAGAGGCCGATATTTGCAGATTTTTTTCCAGTGTTGTCATTAATTTACTCCAAAAAGATTAAGGGCCTGATCTACTAAGATCCCAAATGGCAAACGTTAAATTGCGTGGGCAAACTAAACACTTGCTTGTGCTATTAGTAGGCATGTTGTTAGTGATCTCCTACCATTGGGTGTGCAATTGATAACAGGTGCAAAAGTGGTGGGACTGCCTTATTTATATGAGGATTTTGCATGCGCTGTGAGAGTTTGTGAGAGCAGAGTGATCGTGGATGAAAAATGAAGTTTGAAGCCATGCAGTTGCACATATCCTTTTGGGGAACTGCATAAAGGCAAGGCAAGTTTAGTTGTATAGCACCATTTATACACAGGATAATTCAAAGTGCTTTACCAATGCAAGAAAATATATTAGAAGGAAGGGATTAAAACAATAAGACAAACAGATATTTTTTTTTTCGTCTGTTCTTTGTTTGACCTAATTATTTATGAAAATCATCATTTACCAGAAATGCAAAATAAATCACAAGCTTTTAGAGTGGAAATACTGTTTGAAATCACTTACAAAACAACTATCCAAGAGAATGTTTTTTCCCTGCATCTACAAATACAAGGTCAAGGGTTGTTTAAATGTAAAGGGTATGAGGAAGGCAACCACCACTTGCTCAGAAGATACTCTACAGTATATGCATGTGCCAAATGTTGCCTTGGTATCAAGATGATGACTGGTCTTACATGCCTGTGTGAGTTTTTTCAACCTATTGTAGGTGACGTGCCGCCACTTAAGGACACGGAATGTGTTTGCACCACAGGCCGGCAAAAAACAGGCCCAAAGTCTGATGTCTATGGCTTAGTGCTGTACTGAGATAGTGTCAGGATTAATAGCTTTCTGCTCAGTCCAAATACTCTAGACTGAGACTGTCACCAAGCTCTCCATCATGCACATTCTTAAACATTCTTAACAGACAAACTGACATGCTTTGACACACTACTTTGGTTTCTTCAACCAATAAGAATAAACTCTGGCACACTTTTTTTTTTTTTTTTTGGCAAATATCTTTTGATCATCTGGGTCAAACAAACATCCATTGGTAAAAACCTGCTCAAAGTATGTTGAGACTGACAGATGATAAATTAAGGTGACGTATTCACCATCTAGATTCTGCACTACCTTCACATCATAAGTAAGAGACTGACCAGTGCTTTTTTTCCCAAAGAACAGTGGAACTGGTTACTTCCATGCAGAGGTTTTAAAATTTGGTTTCATTGAATTTTACAAAGTTGCTACATTATCTGGGATATTATCAGTGTTTACGGCACACTCTGAAGAAACATTTGACAATAATTGAGCTAACTGAAAGATATATCTTTTTTTAAAGAATGTTTGTGCATGTGTGTCTACAGTCATCCAGGACTTTCCCCGGTTTTCAGAGAGCTGATCGTCTCACTGTGTTGGAGGAAAGGCTCATTAAAGTGGTGTTTTTCTGAACTGCAGCATCTTTCGGAAATGCCAGTGGGTTCTGGGGGTTAAAATACTAAAACGGTTTCTCTTTCCCTCTATGAGCATCTGTCTGCATGGCACCATGATTGATGACTCATCATGCCATGGCACCTCTCATGGAAACGGTTATTCCTTTTACTTTTGGATCAGAGTGTATGGGTAATTTATTAGGCTGTAAATGTTTGTCACATTCACAAGTACTGGTAATAAGAGCATTTTTTTCCTGTGGATTTTTTGTATACATATTTATTTTTTAATACTCACATTGTGCCCAGCATCATCCAGGACTATCTTTCTGTGTTATTTCCATGACACTTTCAATTATGGGAACAGTTTCTCCTCCTGCCTCTTGCATCAGTGTATGCGGGGCACAGGGAGCAGTGGCTGCCGCATAGCAGCAGCTGCCCACTACGTTAAGGGATGAAGCAAAATGAAGGTGACTGGTAATGGTTATTGTTTTGTCCCTCTCTGCCATTTAATCTCCTCTCAGAGAGCTTCATTAGGCAGTGGAAGAGCAAACGGCTTGTAGATAAAACTTGATCTGTAAGTGAGGGACACTCAGAATGAGCCAATCTTCATTCACCTGTTGGCCTGGATGCAGCAAACATCCGTCCAATTTTCTGCTGCATAGGTACTCTGTCATGTGGCACAGGGGTTTTAAACTGTTTTAGTAAAGTGGAGTTTTCTGTGTTTTTTTTTTTTTTTTAAATTGACCAGGGAGGACTGAACATCCATCAGTCTGATGGCATTTATTGCATGATGCTCAAATAAGCCAGGCTTGCACAGCGATGCAAAGTTATAGCCAGTGTGCGGGCATGCTAACACAGAAATGTGCCCTTTTAGTCCATATGTTTACCACTTTGGTCATCATACTAATATTTGCTAGTTAAAACTGAAGTGAGATGGGACTAATGATGTTAACCCTGGTTCAGACTAGCTGTGTAAGCTGGGCGTGATAGCTGTGGGGCGACACTTTTAATTTGATGTACATGTTAACAGATCAAAGCTATCTAGCTGTCATCTCACTGCTTAATTCTTAATGATAAGAGGCTTAATTACTATCTCGAGTTCTCAAAGTAAAGGATTTATTGACCTCACACCGCCAGTATGTCTATATCTGCAGAATACATAATAGACATGAAATTTGGAAATGAGGCAACAGTTTTGGTATGCTTTTCAAATATAAGCCTATCTTTTTGATGTGGTCTCCCTTTGCTTTCACATATGTTTTTGTTCTGAACATTTGCCGAGGACTGTTTTATTGTTTTAACTTTCAAAGCCTATTGCATAAGAGCCTGCTAATCTTTGTAGAAAAAAATGTCATGAATCAAGTAGGAAGCAGGTCCCTTTGTAATTATTTCAGTCACTGGGTTATGAACACCTAGTTTTAATAGGGAGAACAAACACCCCAAATCACATCCTTGTATGGCTAAAAAAAAGCATAGAAAACATTCAGGACTTATGTTGGCTATAATCACATCTTTATATAACATCAGGTAATGAGCAGGTAATTTTATCTGTTAGGTTACCATACAGGCACATTTTATCCCCCATTCACCCAAAGGACTGAGCCGTAAGTTCAACACTGAACCAAAACTGTTGGCAGCACCAGAGTGTGGTTGTTGTGTGGTTGGGGCTTTTTTTTTTTTTAATTTTGCAAGAGAAATTTTGAACACACACTGTGACACATTAGCAT